ATCCATCTGAACGAGATCGAGGGATTTCAAGCATGTCAACGTAGATTTATCAAACAGTGAAAGTGTGTCACTGTCAAATACTCGGGCTCTGTCTGCATTTTCTATACTTCATTTAAATACATCAGCATGTCAATGCGGGTAATTGCGCTCTCCCCCCCCCCCCCCCACTTTAACAACCATTAACACTGCAAATCCACAGGCTTCAAGCTACTAGCTTTTTTTGCTGTTTTCAATTTAATACATATATTTTCATATTTCAATATGGTAAATACAATTTTTTTTTTAAATATTGAAATTTTCAATATGGTAAATACAATTTTTTTTTAAATATTGAAATTAAAATTAAAAAAACAATGACTGCGTTTGTTGAATAATTACAATACTGAAACATGGTTAAACTTGTTTCTGACTTCTTTCTGTCACCTAAAATATCATAAAATGTGGTCAGTGACATAACTATTAATGATTATGTACTCTAAACTTCACTTTTCTAAAACAATTTGACAAAGAAAACTTCACAAAAGTGAGGACTTTTTTCTCCAAAAATATCGGAAAACTGAAAGTGGACACTATTACTGTCTCATCAATAAAAATTGCGGAACATATAAGCTTCCAGGGGGAGAAGCCATTGGAAGTAACAGTTAATGGAATTCCTCGATTTACATACATTCAATCTGCACTAAACAACCTTTATGACATTATGATAGACAAACTCATATGATGATCCCTTTCAATGAAATTACTGCCCATTTTCTATACCACAGCTAAGTGATGTCTCCAGTATAAGTGGAAAATCAAAGAGCTTAATGAAATCTAACAAATGTGGTCTTCCAACCGAATAGAGCGTTTTAGTCCAATTTGTCCACCCAATAACTTCTGATTTATTTTTACTATTAGAAATAATATCTACGCAATAACTCTTTTTTTGTATAAGAAATAATATCTACATTATGAATAATTTGTGTCTAAAGTATGATGGTAGATATTATCTGTGGTAATTTTTGGTTGCAAGTTTCCTACTTATTTATAAAAATACCATTTGGGTATTAAATAACCCCTGACTCCTATCCAATCTAACCCCCCCCCCCCACCCCAACACCCAAAGGACAAAAAATTCTTAACTTAAATTGAGCCATGTCACAACAGCAAACAGCATGGATCCTGATCAGACTGCGCGGATGCGCAGGCTGGTCTGGATCCATGCTGATCGCAAACGCACTATGTTTTGTCGTGACGCAGTTCAATTGTTTACAAACCTGGCACACATGGGGATAAAAGGTTTGTCATTACTCAGGGCTTGAATATAAAATTCCCATATTATAGTATATAACCACTACACTGAAAAATGCTTTTACATAATTTATAAAAAATAGAACTAAAATATCAGACATGCATTCAGATTTCCATTCACCAACAGAAACACACAAGGATTTTAAAAATAAATTCTGTTAAAGCTTTTAATGAATCTGACAAAATGCCATAGTAAATTCAAATTAGTTTGAATGTATAACAAAAGAACATTGACAACTGTTTCTTGTTTTGAAGAATGTAAAGAATTCTGTTAACTTGACAGCATGAAAACCATCGGACATGCTGACATGATAGTTTTACCTTAAAACCCAACTGATAAGCATAAACAATGTACTGTATCACATTGGATTCCCTTATGTAGTATGTTTTTATTTTATTTTTACAAGAGGAGGAATCATTTATGACTAACCGTTTATTACAAACTACAAAATAATTAAGCATTTTATTGATGTAAATAAAGCATGTTTAAATGATGATCAGGATACAAATTGAGATTTTATTATCTTTCTTAATGCTCCTACATGGCACATAATTGGACAACAACATTGATTTACCTAATAAAGCGAACAAAAATCATTTCTCGAAATTCCCTGTGACAGCATTCAAACCATAAAACAAACTATATGAACGAGAAACAAAATGCAATCAAACGACATCAACCAAGCCTTTAATTTGCCAACAATTTCATTTTTTAATTATTTCATACTCCGTGTTTTGCGGTAACTATATCAAATTTGGTTATTACTTCCTCTTAAAGCATCCTGAGTTAATAATCATGTTCAAAGCTATGCAAAAAGACATTTAAGTCAATTTTCCAATTTACATTCAGTTAAATAATGTTACAAATTTGATAAGATGTTCGTCATCCAATGCAAAAAAAAAAGATATCTCATTCTGATACTGGAATCCCTACAACCCTAAATGGACTGTTCCATATATATAAAATAGGAAAAAATTCACAGTCAAAAATACTTAAACTGGGGTAGCCTACAGTAGGCAGTCTGGTTAATGCAGCCATCAACCAAAGGATTAAACTCATAACCTGCTGGAATCCTTAAATGCGTGTGTCCTGCTTACATTTTTGGAACAGTCTTTTATTAAATTGTTGATAACAAGATGAAAATATGATATTGGTCACCTTACAGTATAAAAGCAGTATAAAGCCAGCATGGTCAAACAACATGGAAGCTGACAAAGAATAATCACTTTTGGTAAAACACCTTGCCATTAATGATAAAAAAAAAAATCTAAAAAGATGTATAATTTTTTTTTCCGTCTTTAAACTAAATCATTTAATTTGAGCAGCTAACAAAATAAACAATATCAACCAGCATTATGATTATTACCAGTATTACAATGACAACTGCTGTCAGGCTATAACAAACATCTGTAAACAACTATGTTTCTTGTGTTTTTATATCGGTGCGATTCAATCAAATACGCAAACGCAACAACTTCCAATCGTCTTACAATGTCATCTAATAAGACTTACAGCAGCTCATGGCTGCCACCAATGTAAAGCTGATTATCATACAAATATTGAATTTTTATATTGATCGATCATACGAAAATCAACAACATCATAATCATGAAAAGAAACAGATCTCCGAATTTCATACACTAGATTCAACTAGATAAATTGAACAAAACTGTGCAGAAATTTCACTGTCACTCGAGATAGATAAAATACAATTCCCGAACAAGTTTACTCCGGCAATTGCTGTGGAATGGGATTTTTTTTCTGGCTCGGTGGGAATTTATTTAAAATGTGCGTTGCTAACTTGTTTGATTAAAATCGGATAACGCTGACAACTTTATGTGCAAATGAAATTAAACAATCGCAGAATCATCACAGTTAGCAATTTCTTTCACAGATTACAGTTTTAAAATATATCAATCTTATAAAAGGGAGGTGATTAAAGTGTCATAACTGATTTATTAGCTGAGTTTTTTTTCCCTAATAAATTCTGTAAGTAACTGTCAATCATAAAGTAATTTTTCCTAAGCCAGTCAGCATTATTCATAAAACTGGAAACTCTTAATGTCTTGAATATCATTCTCATGTACAAAAAAATATAGCACTCAAATTATTATACTATATTAACACTTGTGTAAAAGTGTAAAATCAAAATATAACATTGTGTGCAGCTTAATTGATTGGCAGTATTTATTTTCACTATATAAATATTTTTCGGAATCACAAATTAAATAAGTTCACCTAAAACTGCAAAAAAAAGAAAAAATCTTCTTTTTGACAAGCACTGCATATCCAAATATGGATGCTATATACGTAACCATATACAAAGATCAACCAAAATACAACAGGACCTTTGGAGCAGAAAAAAACCCTACAAAAGTCATGAATATAGGTGCAACTATAAACAATAAATCAGTCATTCTAAAAAAAAAAAAAAATAACAGGCCAATTTAAAAACAAATATTTTTCTACCACGTTCTTTAAAACAAAAAACAATGAGATTTTTTTCCACACCACTCTATATATATATCAAAATACAGAGTATACATGTGTTAGAAAGTGTCTATTGTTCTATAATCACAATGTTCATTATTACAACACGCAATACAATCATTGCCGTTTCAATATATATCTTTTTACACATCCGTATCGGTCATCTATCAGAACCTGATATAAATGTGTCTAGATTTGGTTAAAGGCTATCATTTAAGGCGGATAATTAACATAAGAATACAAGTTAATTGTAGCGCCATCATTGTTCATTGTGGAAACAATTCATCTCTGTTACATTTTACGTTACATTTTACACTATGATCGGGCATTTTGTCAATATTTCTTTAACTCTTTGATTAACCCTAATGAAAGGTTTACACTTCCACGTCTCGAAAAAAGTGTTTCGAAGGAAAACGGATGTGAAATTGTGACAGTAAATCACACCGTGAAATGTTTAGATTATTTTCCGAGAAAACTATATTAAGGCCGCGGAAAAAAAAGGTTCCCGTTTTCCCGTATTGTACTATAGAACTGTAATGAAAGTTTCAGGCAAAACTGTCACGCTTCCCTTTTAAATGAATACAAAATCTACTTAAATAGACGGAATTTTTCTTTTTTAATACATTAGATTTGATAAAATTGTGAATTTATTTTTGCACTCAGACATTTCAATCAAATAAGCATAGTTCATTCTAGCAGTTCCAGAAAGAGACACAGTGTCTATTAATATCCTTACTTACATAATGCTTATTTTATGTAAACTTCCTCTGCTAAAATTGCAGTTTTTTATTATTTATATATTAATGGATTAATTTTGTTTAAACATAATTATCTTTTTTAACCCAAATGTGATAATTTATTTTCTGCTTTAAGCTAATCACAATCTATTTGAAAAACTTAAAGAGTTTGATTCCTGATACTAAACAGTGTATGAGAATACATGGTTATAACTTGGGTAGTGCTTGAACCTACAATCCGTGAGGTGAGAGGCATACTTATTTAACCATTATCTTTTAGAGATTGCAAAACCAATATGCATACCACTTGGCATATAATCTGGTATGCAAAAAATAAAGCAACCAACAGCATACAATCTGGTCCGAATGCTTGCAAAAAGTAAAGTACTATCTCGTTTAAGGTTTAAAATGTTAAATTATTGAAAAGAACAAGTTTACTAGTATAAAACCCTTAATTCTGTTTATGTTTTATATATTTTCAGTACGATATGGATTCTGGCACCACCTCCCGCAGTACAACAGGGCAGCTTTTGACGAGGGCTACACACGACTTAATGATGTTTGCAAAAGTAAGTAAAATAGACCTAGATATAAATATGACAGAGGCAATGTCTCAACCATCAAATGATTATAATTAACTTCTTAAAAATGTTACTTGACAAATTTCATAAAGAACACAATTAAGAGGGAGATAGCTATTTTTTTTACTGTGAAAAAAGCAAAGCTGATTTTGCTCATACATGAAAATCATAGATGGCATCAAAAAAAACAAAAACTATCTGATTGTAACAGAAAACATAAAAATGCCTTGACAGAATCAAATTTCTTTCTATACAATGTCTTAATATAAATAAAACATGATTTTTCTAGTCTTACTCCGATTTTCTTTTTCATTTTCAAAATATTGAAATAATTATAAAGAACATAACATTAACAAAAGAGTCCATGGTAAAAACATTGATGTATAATTCCCACAAAACCTGATGATTTCATTAAAACAAAAAAAATCTAAAATTTTACAGCTGAATTAGAAAAAAAAATCCCTGCAGTCACATTTTAAGGGCAGCCATTTTCCTGTGGAGTATTGACAAAAAAAACCCTGTCAGTTCCCTTATCACTCACAGTGACTCAGTATTTAGCCCCTGGTGTAGAGACATTACTATGGAATCCTGGGAACAATTACCCATAATTCAATTGTCAACAGAGTCATTAAGAAGATTATAATTGTTTTATCAAGCTCCTGGAATGTTGTCCCTAATCATTGTTGAAATCTATTGTTTCTTCCACATAGTTGAAAATAATGGGTGTTCAATAGAGCAGTTTAACAGGGGCATAGAGTAATCTACAAATCTATCATGGCAAAAAACACCCATTAAGGAGCATGCATTATTATAAATTACAGCATACGCTGATTGATGTGTGCAGTATGGAAACTGTTTCTGATTCAACTGTAAACTGCACAATATAAATCTTCTCAAATATGTTTCACTGGCTTTAAGCGTATTGATGAGATGGGGGGAAAATTACAATAATGAGAGAGGGGAAATGTCAAACTGTAACCACATAGAATGAAATACTCATCTAAAATCAAAACTCCAAAGATTATGACTTATAAATTTATTTTTAATTTATTAAGGGTCTGAATTTATTAAGGGTCTGTAATCAATCTACATACAGTGTAGGTTAAATTTTAACTTCAAAAAGGGGTTGAACCTACTCCAAAAGATTTTGACCAAAAACTCCAAGGGATTTTGCCTACAAACCACCAGAAGTTTCACATACAAATTCCAAGAGTTTTGACCTACAAAACTGAAACGTTTTCTTCAAAAGGTTTTTACCTACAAACTCTTAACATAGAAAAAGTTTTTATTTTCTGAGACTTCAAGGGTTTAGTGACATTGGCACTCACTCTATTGACAAGACTTTTCCTATTACAGTTTTGTTTGACATCATACATTGACATGATATTTATCTATGTGTACTTTCCTGCAAAAGATGGCGCTATACTCTTAAGCCATGAACGCAATTTGATTATTATCTGTATAATGCCAAGTTAAGTCTATTTAATGAGTACATTTACAGATGAGCACTTCTTTATGAGTCATGTACATAAATCTTCCATTAAACAACAGAAACAATCAAACACTGGCTACATCATGACTAGAATAAAAAAAAATTTACAACACCTATCGTGATGGAATATATTTTCGAGAATTGAAATTTTGTTCGTGTAAGTCCGAGAGTGAAAATCTGTGTACAGGGAAAATCTTAATCACGAGGACAAGGGAGAAGGGATGTACGCGATTGTAATTACCTTTGAAATGTAATTAGATCAACAATAAAATGACAGTAAACCAAGGTTTACACAATCTATACAAGATAGACATGCAAACCACGGCTATAGATGAAATGTTTCACCTTGATTTAATTACGACAGACATGCAGTCAAAAATTGAGACACGAAATTATACGTAGATCACAGATATTAATGCCATTACAAGAAAAGTATTTCCACGATATAGATCGTGATATTAAAGACAAATAAAAGAAATATCGCGAAAATAATTTCAATTGACATGAAAGTCTTTGTAAAATGCATAAGTTGTTTGCATGTCCTATTGAAAATGTTCATTAAAAAGCTGTTTTCACGCAAGCTGTCAATATACATGTAAATGTATATTCTGACCATGTTTCTTTAAAGTAAATTGCTATTTATTGGCAATATGTACCATTAAGTTTCGTATTTCTTGATGAGAAAACGAACATAAAACCTCATACAAAATACATACTTAATACACCCATGCACATTATTCAGCATACTTCTAATCCCTTAATAGGCAGAAAAACAATCTTACCAGCGGGGCAAAAAGTCAACATAATTTAGCGAACTCTTAATCTCTTAATAGGCGGAAAAATATCTTTTCGGTCTCGTGACATTTAGATACACTAAGATGGATTTGATACGGGATATATATAATGTTAACCTGAACAGCCTCATCATACCAATTACAATAAATAAAATATAAGTCGCTACGGTTTAATCGAACCTTTTAATTCCTATCTAACGGAGTTAAGCCAAATGGCAGCATTTGCGGTCTTGCCTTATTTGAGAACTGCAGCGAATTAATCTAGTCTTCAAGATGCCGAATGCATATAAATGAACTCATTAATAACAAAGTACGTCTTCATTAACAAAAAACAATATTTCATCTAATCAGACGTGTGAATAATTGATAAAGGAACGTGGATTATTACTGATCACATGTCAGTAATTTCAGGGTAAAAAACAAATCTTAAAAATGGTTAAGCTATTACCCCTGTAATTCACATGACATTTACATTTTGAGAGGTTAAAAAACAAAAAGAATAATTAGAGATCGCCTTGCGTACAAGAAAATTTAACTGGAATAATTCATAATTACACGATGGTGGGTCTCTATTTTCGAAAACGTATATAATGTTAACTATGGAGAAGATGATTTTGACCAAGCCATATGAGAATATTTGGGTTTTCATTGTTGTTTTTTGAATGATTTAATCTATGTATCAAAAAGCCCCAATTATACAATCCTACTTATATAAAATTCAACAAACATATTACACTTTAAACTTGCAAATACAGTGTATAAATTTATTATGAACATTCAAAATTAAATTTCATTTTTCAAAAAATGAAGATGTAAAATATATCAATTATAGGTCATCATAAGGGGTCATCTGATTGGACAAGGATACAAGGATGGACCATCCCCTTACAGGATGCTTTGTATTTCTTAAGTTAGGGTCAAAAATAAATAGTAGGAAACAAAAACTCTTCATAGTTTCTTGAAAATGTTCTCAAAAATACAATAATAGTAATACAAAATATATAATTCTTTATTAAGATGTCTATGACTTTATGGACAATGAATTTATTATTTATCATAAATTAAATTAAAGTTTAAAAAAATTATGTTTTGTTCTCTATAAAAGTTATGTCTATGTCTTTATTGTCTAGTCTACAAAATTTTTCCTGATTTTTTTTTCTTTTTTGCTCTTTCAATTCACAAATTCAATGTCTAGCCACACACTGGCAAGTAACAAAAGTTATTGACAACACACAAAATATATTATCTTTGAAATTGAATTAGTTTAGCACTTTAAGAATTACCTTTCCAAGTTTGCTTACTGATTGCTTATGAGTGTCAAACTAACAATAACTACACTTTTCAATTTATTTTATGCCAAGGAAATACCGGCAGTTTAAGGCAATTCTTAACTCTTAGCCTGCTGGCAGAAAATGAATATATCTACCCATACAACCATTGCAGACTTAAAGATCAACTAGCCTATCAGGGCTGTCTGATCATGGTCTGCACTGTTCTCTAATCAGTCAGTAAATATTTTGAAAATTTCCCTCTGAATGACGAATGGTTTTGTCCAGACAGAAAGGTTTTGTCCAGACAGAAAGATGGACAAGTCTATTTAAGATATTTAGCATGGCATTTAAAAAAAAAAAATTACAAAATGTCTTCTGATTAAATAAATTGATGATGTGTCTCTTGAGTAGAAATACTATAGTAACAATGTTTAGACATTGTGTTTTGGCCTTTACAATCATATTATTGTTTTCTGAGGGCAGTTGCGTCCAAGTGGTTTTAAGGAAATTCCAGGTTACAATCAGATTGGTTCCTTTAGCTGGATTAGTCGCTAATAACCGTTACCCCATCTAAATTGACTTATTACTCCCATATTTCAATCTGGACATAACAATTCATCAGCAAAAATTTTTAAAATATGTTCTAACTAAATAGCTTACAGTGCAAACAATGATCGGACTGCACAAATAGGCTGACTGATCATGGGCTCCACTGGTCGCATGGGTAGCTACTGGCAAAACTAACCAGTGTGTCAAAAGAATACGTACACAAACATGCACAAACCGCCATAATACTACTATACAATATAAAGTACAACTTAATCAGAAGCAAAACCATAAAAACATACGTTTTAACTCACTGTGCATTTTAAAAGCTGCTTATAGTGATCAATATACCATTTGTATCTAAAGATAAAATTTGTTACTAGCCTTGACGCCAAGAGATTAAGCAATATTGTGTCTTCTAACATTTACACTTCCCAATTATGGAAAGGAACAAGACTTATGATCAAATTGAAAAAAATTTAAGTGCATTTTTAACCGAGGGCAAGATAGGGTGAAACCCCTATAATTAATATATCAATACAAAAACAGTGTGAGATTTCCCTGGAGACATGAATTATTAAGATTTTATATCTAGGTGAATCATTTTCAGCCAGTTTTATCTTTCATCAGGCAAACTTGAAATTAGAAAAAAAAAACTTTCTGTTGACTCAGAGCAAAAATAGTGTAAGTGTTAAGAATAGAAGCTAAGAATAGAAGCTGATGAGGAAATACTTGAGCTGTTGTGACAAAATGTTACCCCATTACCTGCTGAATTTACATAATTGCTCTTAATTTGGAACAGTCAACTTGTAATTTATGGGATTTACATACTTTAAATTAAGTTACCATCAGAAAAGAGTCTGATCTGTTAGTGCAGAAATACAG